CCTTTAACTTTTTGATTTATGTATATCATACATCACTAATTGCTAATTTTTCATAGTGACGTAATTTTCATTTATTTAAATAGCGAATGCCTAAAATCCACTCAGTTATATAACAGCATATACTAGCGATTGCGTGTCACCGTAATGCATCCGGAGTGTACTTAGCTTTATAATTTTATTTCGTCACATTCATTATTACCACAAAACAATATGAAAAAAATTAAACGTCCGCTTTCTAATGCGTACGTGTTCTAAATTAATCTTTTTCATACAAAATCGAATTGTTGCATGTACATACGCAATTAGCGAACTGATACGCAAAACAAAATATCTTTATCAGCTTTTGACTTACGCGACTTTAGGCGACAGATAAAAGTGATTTTTTAGTAAAACGTGGAAATTATTATTCGTAACCGGTAAATATTAATAATATTATTACGAACATAGATTGCCAGGTGATCGATTCTTGTTTGTCGTATCACAGGGACCAGATTATTCATTTCGAGACTGATAATCATAATTTCTTCAATAATAAAATGAGATATCGAAAGTACTCAGGAACAAACTATAAAAAATATTTCGGATATCTGCAATCATCAATTGCAATAAATGTTAATGCCTTTGATACGATTGAACGATTTGGTACTTACTTTGCCAAAAAACATCGTTTCTTTGTTGTGTTTTTCTTTAGTTATAAAAACAAGTAAACATAAATCTCCAGTGCACTGGTTCAATGATGATCTTAGAGTCATGTGCAAAAAATGATTAAAAATTCGTAGTACAGCACAAATTACAAATAATCGAGATCCAATATATAAAAAATTCAAAGAAGAGTCTAAAAATTTAATAAAAAATACCAAAAACAAGGCTTATACAAACTATTTACAGTTATACAAAAATTACCGATTAATTAATACCCGGAACGAAAGATTTATCCTCCGACGACCTCAATATATTTTTTACCACAATAGCGCATAAAACATTGGAAACCTTAGATGAAACTCCTGCTAGGCTGTCAGAGGTCAAGCATCAACCTAAATCTTAATTTCAATTTTCCCTGGTTTTTTTACTTCAGGTTCAGAAGGTTATAATGTCCTTGAATAATTCAAATTCAAATTATAGACTTTTACTGATTGAATAGTAGAATCACTAAGCAGTGCTGCAATGTAATGGTTGTACAGAGGTTTTTAAAATATCTAAAGTTGTAAAAATGCACAAAAAGGTGAAATATCTGATCCTAATAATTATCGACCCGTTTTAATTATCCCAATGGTTTCCAAAGTTTTTGGAAAAAAAGGGGATTCTCAATTGTTTCATTATTTTGAGTCTAACGATTAGATTAATCCAAAAATCAGTGGTTTTAAAAAATGGGCATTCCTCCATCCAAGCACTATTGCGTATGGTGACTGGCATATTTGAGGGCTATGAGGAAGAAGAGCATGGTACTTTAACCATGTGTGACCTCTCCAAGATCTGTGCCTGTGGCGCTCATTCAATTTTGCCCGAAAAACTAGAGTTTTACAGTTTGTTGCCTATAATATATATATATTATGCCTTTCATCTTATCTTTCTCTTTATCTTGTCTTATCTTTCTGATAGAAATCAAACCAGTTGAATGGTAATACAAGGAGTCCAGCAGGGTTTCATTTTGGGTTCATTATTGGTTTTAACCTATCTTAATGATATCTGTGATCATATGGACACTGTGGCTGCAATTAATTTTGCAGATGACTCTACATTTCATACATCAAACCCAAATATAGAAAGTCTCAGAGAGGAAACACATTCGGCAAAAGAAAATACTAATCAGTGGTTTATAGCCATTAAATCTTCAATAAATGTAAATGTTTTGGACGGGAAATTTGCGAAGTTATGGGGTAACGTCCTGAATGATAGGCTCTCTTGAATGGACTACATTGCCTATTTAGTAAAGCTCCAAGTGTCAACTTTTTGCTCCGACGATTAAAACATTTAATTCCAGAAGATTGTTAGTCTCGAGCTACTTTTTTATTCATTTTTGGCATATGCTATCATAGTGCAAGAAACGGCGATTAGAATTATATCCAACGTGTGATATAGATACCATTACCAATGTCTGTTTCAAAAACTTAGGGTTATGCCATTGGCATTGGTATACATCCATCACTCGAGAAAATCTCTTATCACCTCACTCAGGTGTTGATGGATATAATACTTGCTCCTCAAGTTTGCTTCGAACTAGGAAGCTTAAATACACTAAAAGCGTGAAAAATTATCTTCATCTGAGCTTATTATATAACCTAATTCCAAATTAGATAACAAATTTGCCATTTAAACATTTTAAAGCCAAAATAAAATCTTTTTTTATGGAACACTGTTTTTATTCTGAAGAGAAATACAAACAAGGGATAAAAGATATTATTTGATTCTTGACAGTGGTCATTATTTTATTGTGGTCGATATCTTCCAATTGTTTTTGTTCATTTGGACGTGCTTTATAAACTTTATATGTTAACTCAGTCATCTTTATTTATATTATTTCACAATTATTACTTTATTATTAATTTACTTTACTTTCATGGTCTTAAAATAACAAGTGAAATAAAGTTTTGGGAAATTCGTCAAATATGGAAAGAAAGCTATACTTTATGGAACAATTGAATTTACGCGCATTTACAAGTATTATGAGATAATTCATTTTTATCCATCAGAAATTTAAGTATAGTTTGACACAACAATGATGATAAACGCAAGCAGATTGCAAAAGCAAGCACCCTGAATTGGACTTAAAACCTATTGCAGTCGTTAGGAGCATGTATTTTGGATTTTAAACATGGAAAACAATTTTGTAAGGCAACTTTTTTAACCAACATCAACTTTTTCAATCAACATCATTGTATAACAATAAATCTCCAAAAAAGAAACTGTAACCCTTTCTATGCTAAAGACGAAGCACTTTATACTAGAAATGTATAATACATTTTTTGCAATTTTTTTGCTTAAAAATACTTGGGAAAGCACCCTGTGAAATATCTGATACCCTGTATATGGCGAGTACACATTGACTTGAATTTCTATTGACTATTATTATTATTTTTTTAACTGTGCCCGTGGACTGGTTTGCTGCGTTGCCGGTTTTATAATTTGTCACCAATCTGCCTAAAAACTAGACTGAAATAATTCCACTTACATGTTATTAAATTTTGGTTTTTGAATTTTTGAGTGCTTTTATTTCGAAATACTGCGAATCCAGTAGAGTTGTCAAAACTGAAAAAACTGAAGTCGCTCCTCGCGAGCTGTAAAATGTATAAACAGTTTTCTAGATTTGAGGGACATTATGTGGTTGTAGATATAATGCGGTACAAAAATTCACCGGCATTTTATAGCGAACAGCACCGCAAATAGAAAACGGTGAACGTCTTTGCTTGAATTAATAGTCTTTTGTTTAAAATCACGATTTCATGGAACACGCCTTATAGGTGTATACACATATTTTCATATCGATTTCGACATAAGTACAAAAACTTGCAAACGCCCGTGCGAGAGCAGTTTCACTGAAAATTCTTTAACCGCGTTCGATTTCAATAATACACACATATAATATATAATAATTGAGATAAAAAGTTCATGGCTTGGCAATGGCTTAGTTCTTGAGATACAGGGCAGGCCTAGTCAAAAATGGCATTACAGTGCGACACAAAAAGTTATGGTTAATTGAATTCAGGAACAACACTTCTAACATTAAACGAAAACTAAAAGTAAAAATCACAGTCATCGATATATTCAGTATCTGGAATTTAGTCTAATTGGCACGTTACTGAACAAAAATATAGTCAAGTCAACTAAGTAATTGCAGACCAATGTTCATATGAACATTTTATCTTAAAATTAGTCAAGGATTCACACTTTAAACTTTGTACAAGTCTTAACTAACACCTTGCAGAATATATACGAACCATAATTACAAAGCAAATATTTTTCTGCAATCTTTGGTGAATCTTAGTCATGTTGACGTTCGCGATAAGCCATAGCCGTTGTACCCACTTAAAAATCCATATTATTATCGCTATCTAAAACATTTGTTGCTGAGACGCGTAATTTGGTCGGGCGTTGGAAATCATCGTTAAATGAAGATTTCCGTTTTTAATACAATGCTGTTGTTTGTGTGTAGTTGATGACATCGTTTTCTTATCTATGATCACTCCTACCGTCTAAATGCAATTTCCGTACCGCAAACGAAGTGGACGATGATACCACTACAATGGTAATCACGTGCATTTCATTAATTGATATTGGTCTAAAGGTCGAGTCTGCTATTATTTAGGAAGGATCAGATATTTTTGATTTTGGTCAATGCTGATGATCATATCACTCATGTACGTGATGCTCCTCAAAAAATGTACCCAAAAACTAGTAATGGTTGTAGAAAAAATACAGTAAATTTCTTCAGTCAGTCGTTTGTTAAACACGAATTTCGATCACGCCAAATCAAAGTCGTGACTAAAGTGGCGTTCATCGAACTTCTTTATAATATACTATTATTTTCTTACTGGTGAAAATATAAAGAAAAGTTGCGTATCATACAATACATTTCAATTATTGTATATCAAATCTCGTTAACATATCTCAACAAATATTTGAATATTTACAAATTTTATCACCCTGTATGCCAAATGTTATGACGTTTAGGTCATTCCATATGAAGTTTCCTTCCTAAAATTGACACACAAGACCTCCATAAACAATGACATTAAATTATAAAATACCTTATATAATAAACAACTTAAAATAAAATGTTGCACGTGGCACCATGTACTTATGGTTTCCGCACCTTATCAGTATATGTGTGAAGGTATGAGAGATCTTTAGTTTGTTTTCAAAACAGATAATTAATAAATTCGAACTTTGTTTCCTTTATCGTTTCAAATCGACGTATATATTGCATTGACTATTTCTGTATATGGTAAAAGTTTAATGAATTTCTCGCTGTGAGTCGTGATCTTGACTGATACTTTGTGTAGTTTCCTGCGGACATCGTCCACTGCAAGGTGAAACAGAACTCAACGACCGTCAAGCGTAAGCAATTTTGATTATTAACGGTAAGTTTCCGATAAACATGTAATATTTGTCTTAAAGACAAGGAAATAGAGAAAATGCTAATTTTGTAGGTCCAATCAAAATGTATTGATTATTGATTTATTGATTATTAGTGGAAATTATTTATATGATGTCGAAAAACTAAAAACCCATATTTTTGTTATACATTGTGAACCGTTACAATTTAATATATATTTTTTAAATTAATTAGGTGTTAAATTACTTGTCGCTTATATATTTTTTTCAAAATATCTGTCTGTCTTTATGTTATTATAACTTAAGTTTTAAAATTCGAACTAGAGTTAGAGTTTTTGGGTATTTAGGAAAGAAATTAAACCTTTTAGTTAAATTTGTCATGCCGACGCCCAGGTTTATATTTAAATTAAACAAAATTCGTGATAACATAGTTTTTAATATTTAATGTAACTAAAATGTAATAAGTAAGTGATTATCACACCGTTCTCACTTATTAAATAACACAACGTGTAAAATTATCTTTATATCTGACGTTTAATCCGGATAAAATTTGATTAGACTTATATTAATGTTTATCTCAACATGAGTCTATCAGGCAGTAATTTTGTAGAAGTATTGTTAACAAAAATTGGTTTCCTTCTTTCTTCTTCTTTCTTAGGTGCCTTTAAGTTGTTTTCAAATAAATTATATATTACACTGGGTGATTTAAAACAAATCAAGTTATGTCATCTAGGTAAATACGTGTGTATTTCGCCTTTTTGTAAATAATGCACACTGCTATTTTCTGATAAATATATTTTTTAACGTTAGTCACATTCTGAATTTGAATACGCTTTTTTCGGTGTTTTTTCAAGAAATGTCTGTTATAAATTTTATTTTTTCACAATATTATGTAAAGAAATTATTGCAGCAAGAATATTAGTGAAAAAAAATAATGAAACAACGAGAACACCCCACTCTCCTATTTATACAGGGCATTTCAAAACAAAACTTCCTTCCTTGTACAATTTATGTCAAAAGCCAACAATTAGTGAGATATCGCGCTACAAATACAGAGGAAAAATAAGGTTTCCATTTTTATCTTAAAACATAAAAACGCACTTTCTGCATATTTTAAAAAAAAAATGAACATAGAGGATTGAATTAAAATGGTTCTTAGCAAAATTTAAAGATAAACTCACATAATGACATGGGAAAAATAAATTTACAGTTTCCAAATAAAAAAATAAATGAAAAGCATTGCAGGTCCAAAAAAAATGTCTCTGTAAAAGGGCTTGAACCCTCTGCACGTGCTGGTATGGATACAGCTATTGTTTTTTTTATATTATGGGAACATTGAACTGAGGTGGCTTTTACTTGATGAAAATCCGTTTAACAAAATAAATAAGAACTAAAAGTTAAGATTTTCACGAAATTATATATTTTCACATGACAATTGTTTCGACAATACCGTGTCTTTATCAAATGTAATATTTACAAACTACCTGCTAGTATATATACCGAAAAATGTCAATAAAACCTTAATTAATGTTATGAGAATTTAAGTTTAATAATGGAGAGTTATTTAAATCTAATTGATCGTAAAACAATACATTTGAATGTCTCATTTTATTAATCTCCATGGCTTGCAGTAAATTTAATTTTCTACATTTTGGGGCTTTATGTAAAATATCAAAATTGTCGTCAAAAATGTGTTTTTCTGTGTTTAAGTGTGTAGCATAATTAGAATCTAGCCTATTGGTTTTAAACGCTCTTTTATATTCGTTAATGCGTTTCTTGAAGGATCTACCTGTTTGTCGAATATAAATTTTAGGACAAGATCCGCATTTCAACCTGTAGACACCTGATTTTTGAGATTTTATTTTTGACAAATGTTTTAAACTTTTTCACTGGGTTCTCCAATGTATGTAATTGTTTTCAATTGTTCGTATTCTGTATAAGTTTTCTGATAAATAGAGTTTACTGTTGTCTGGATTTGTTTTTTATTTATAATTTTATCGATCATGGACCGATTGTAGCCTTTGTTCAGTGCAATTTGTTTAATGATATTAAGTTCTTTGTTGGAATTTTCTGTCGAGAGTGGCGTATTACGAAGTCTGTGTATAAAAGAGTAAAATGAAGCCATTTTGTGTGTATAAGGGTGATTTGAGCTGTTATGCATGACTGTGTCGTTGTGTGAAGGTTTATGGTAAATGAAAAAATCTAATTTGTTTTGCGTTTTCGTAATAGTTAAGTCTAAAAAATTAATAGAGTTATCCTGTTCAATCTCGATAGTGAATTTTTATAATTATTTAATGGGTTAATGTAATTTAAAAAAGAATTCAATTGTCTGTCCGTTCCAACAAAGCAAGCAAAGACATCATCCACGTGTCTATACCACCATAGAAAACTTTTACTTAAAGGATGTTCTAGTATGATATTTTCCAAATTATCCATAAAAATCTCGGCTAACAAAGGACTAAGTAAATTTTCCATAATCAAAACTTCCTTAGATATGTAAATCTGTCCACTAAATTCAAAATAATTTTGGTGTAAAGATACTATTAAGCAATCTAATAAATCTTGTTTCACTAATGGGTTAACTTGTTTCCGAGTGAGGGTGAAATCTACTAAATCTATCGCATCCATAGGTGGAATACTGGGAAATAAGTTTTGTACATCAAAAGACAATAGTGTTGCGTTAGAAGGGATTTTGATATCTTTAATTTTGTTGATTAATTCAAAAAAAAATTATTTATTATTATTATTAAAATATTTACTAATTTTGTTGAGAGTTTAACTGCTGAAGCTGTCACATAAGACACGACTGGTCTAATGGGCATATCTTGTTTATGTAATTTAACTAAGGAATATAATTTCGGCGGTTGTGGATTCATAATTTTAAAAAATATTTGTCTTTGTCACTAAATATTGTGGAGTTATTAATTACTTTCTTGTTTTGTCTTTGATATAACTCGGTAGGGTCGTGCTTAATATGAAATGTATGTTCGAACTCTATAATCAAATATGTCAAATTCTACGGGATTAAGTCTCTTGGAAAAGTTCTGGTTTAAGAAAATTGTTGGTTTTTGAAATATGTTCTGAGAGATCGATAGCTAAGACTGTCTTTCCTTTATCTGCACGTGTAAATATTGTCATTTTCAGAAGCTTAATTAATTAAACATTAATTAAGGTTTTAGCGTCAGACGGTGTCGTCGAAACAATTGTCATGTGAAAGTATATATTTTCGTGAAAATCTGAACTCCGAATTTATTCTGCGTACAGTTGGCATCGGTATTTAACTCTGCAACAATTTTGCTGGTAGTTACCTCCGGTTGCCCTTCAATGATAAACTTCCTTGTGTCGGTCGGTATCAAAAGTCTTTTTTTGGAAACTTCCAGATTGTCGTGTGTATAAAGACGAGGAGCTTTCAAGGAATTTTCTTTTGCACACCCGTACATAAAATGCATATCTGCCATTTCTGCATTAGTTTAACTCGCCATTATTGAATTAAAACGCTTATTAGGATTAGAGGATAATTTATTAAATTAGTATTGAGCAATGTCAAATGGAGGTAAAATAAGAAGTGCCCGCTAATTTTTTTATCTAATAATTTTTTTTATCTCATTCTGCATTGCTCATGAAAAATTGCCGGCACTTTCTAAATAAAACATAAAATACAAACTATTTTTTACGTCACTACATCTATTTTCGTTTTTAACAAACCTTTATTTCAAACCAGAAATCACCCCCTTAATTTTTTCGCTTTTTTTGTTTGAGTAAGACAAAGACGCGAATCCCAAAAAATTAGAAAATATTCTGCTTAGAAAATAATCGTTGGTACAAATTTCGTTCAAATATTTAGCAAATTATGTTAAAGAAAACAGATTTTCCTTCTGAAAGTCACTGGTTAGGTCTGGATCTCGTTGAATGAGAATAATAACTTTTCGCATTTGATTTTTTCGAATAATGTTTATTAATAGAGATCCACCACCATTTCCTCAATTAAAATAATTCGATACATTTTAAACTGGATACTTAGTATGGGCGGCATCGACCTTTCGTCTATGACGGCGAACGCCTTGAAACTTACGAGATGCCTATGCGCGTGCTTTTATCCGTAAGAGCGACGCTTATTTTTTAAAACATTTACGATATCCGTAAGGTCAGCTAGTTTAACGAAAAACGCGGTAGTTTAAAAGACGTTCCGTGATTCGTATGGCCGAACCATTAAAATATATTGCCAAGTGTTTTTTTTTTTCGGTTTCAGACGTCACCGCAATTATTAATCGGAGGAAGCGAAACAACATGCAGGACGACTTTTAACGATACGGAAGTTTTATCGTTCGGTCGCCGTTCGTCCGCTAAACATGTCCTACGATCGAAACGGGCATTTTTCGAAAAACATGCGCCCCATCAGGGAACCCAAACTGCTCAAATCAACCGTCGACGTAATCGGGTTTCTGATCATTTCCGCCCTGCACATATTGCGGGCGATCTATAAGTTCTTTTTGCCCAAGCGGTACAAGACCCTGAAGGATTTAAGGGGCGAGGTGGCGCTGGTGACCGGTGGCGGAGGAGGACTTGGCAGACTACTAGCTTTAAGGTTGGGGAAATTAGGAGCCACCGTTGTGGTTTGGGACGTTAATGTCAGCGGTAAGTTTTATTATTAATAATATTTATTCTTACTACAACAAAATTTAGTACAGAAAGAATTGAACAAATTATTAATATTACCATTAACAAATGTAATAAAGAAAATAATTAACAATAAAATTAATATTTTACACTCGCCAGCACAATTAAGGCACCATTAAATTAAACATTAATTAATTGTAAGCTGACATAGTACATTCATTCCAAATTTATACAGTTCTTTTTATCGAAGTTTGTCTTACTATTGTATTGTTGTAATTCAGATAAATAACATACCTCATTCTTTGTAAGTTTTATTGCGAAAATTTATCATCTGCACTGAACATTTAAACTTTGTAAGGTGTAGTGAAGTGTTTATTATGGAACGCCAATCTAGGAATTGGACCGCCGATGAGTGTGGCGCAGCAGACATTTTTCTGAAAGAGGGGTGCTTTCGAATAATTGGACAAAGATTTCCGTCTGATCGAAGGTTACAGAGAAAGTGCTGACCGAGTCAAGGCAGACATCGCATAACAACGCCAGTTCAAGACCGTTTTTTGCTTTAAGACTACGGTTTATGACAGGAAGATTGGTGCAGACAGAGCTACAGCAGATTTCAACTTATACTGTTCGTCGACGCCTAGCTAGATTTGATCTGAGAACAAGAAACTCAGCGCAAGGACCAGCTTTGACCCCACAACATCGCTGCTATAGAACACATCGATTGGGCTGATGACTGGGAAATGGTTCTTTGATCAGATGAAACCAGATTTTGTCTCTACCACTCAGATAGATGTAGGTATAAGAGTTTATCGAAGACGAAATGAAAGATGTAACTCCAAAACAACAGATTATTTGGTGGAGGGCCAGTGATGTTTTGGGGATAGATCTCTTTAACTGCTTGTACTGCCTTGGTGGTTCTTAATGTCAGTTTAATAGCAGATAGGTACACGAGGGAGATTCTGCAAGAACATGTTATACCATTTGGCCCTTACATTGGAAAGAATGTTTTGTTTCGACAAGATAATACTAGACCCCATGTTGCTCAGATTGTGCAAAATTATATTGATGAGGTTGGAATTGAAACTATGGATTGCTCAGCATACAGTCTTGATCTTAACCGCATTGAAAATTTTTGTTACATGATCGACAGGCGTTAAGAACTTCCTAACATTCCTAAAACATTTTGAATGGGCACACTGAAGTTATTAGCCAAATATGCAACAATTTGAATCAAAGCCAGATGGCGTGCTGTTATTGAAATTACAGGAGGAAATGTCCGCTATTTTTAACTTAGTTAATCTTTTAAATGTTCTTGTTTTAATAGCCTTATTGAGTTGGAATAAGAATGTATTTAATTAAGACGTACATATTTGATAAGCATTATGAAATAAAAAAATATAGTAGTGATGTGCTCATTTCTTTGACTAGTGTATAAAAACTTTATATAATCATATATTATAAGTACGTCTTTTTGTCTGACAATTTTTACTGGAATCAACCAATCTTTTGTATCGATTTAAGTTTTATCGTGGTAAATTTTACATCTGCTTTCGGATAATAGGGTTGAGATAGTACTATCAGTCAGTTGTTGTTCTAGTAACGTTGCTGTATATTTTGATGTTATTGAAAAAACCCAATGTAACTTCTTGAAACGTTTACTAAAGTTGCCGAAATTTACTTCTTCCGCTCTCTTGAGTCTTGAATGAGCACTGGCAGACTGCCAAAGCAGTGTTTCGAACGCCAATTACAATTGACGGACAGTATGGACATAAAATTTTGCCTTAAATCCTTATTAAATAAAAAGAAAATTGCTTTCACTCTTACCTTGACTTTGCTCAAAACACATTAAGTATTAGTAACTGTTTTCCAAAAATACCTTAGCTCTAGTTTACCTCTCCAAACAACTTCACAAAATTTAGGTACAAAGGTTTGTCATATAAACCCAACCATACTGAACTAGAAAATAAATCTCTATTCCACGTACTCTTTACATGTGCGAGGTTAATAGATGAGGAGTATTTTGTGGAACAACTGGATAGTCTTACACCTGAAGTAGATATGTACATTCTAAAACCCAGATGCTTCCTCATTGAAGAATCTTTTTTCTTGTATCATTTTTTATCGGGAAATGTTTCATAAGTCAGTGTTTTCTGTTAGAAAAATAACTGTAGAGAACAAATTTTTATTTTCTTATGAAAAAGAAAAAACTAATAAAAATAATCTGTTTTCGCTTCTGAATTTCCTCGAGGTAATTAAATCTTTAAGAGCGCATCTGTTAGTTATACATTTGTAAGTAGCCTTGCCGACCTGCACGGTAAAACAGATTATTTAACACTGCCACTGATATTAATAAATTGTTTGTTGAATTTACCCAGTAGCATTACGTTTGAAGGTCGCAGTTACTTTTTAGGGTATGGGTCCATCAATGCCTTAACTGTCTACTTTCTTAGTTGGATTTTTAGTACTTGCGTCATTATTATAACACGGACATATTTGTTTCAATGCTTTTTTCCACAATTTACTCTAAAATACCAAACTATGCAGCTCAATCAAGGGTGTGCTCTCATACTAAGACGCGAGCTCCGTTAACTAGTCTACCGAGCTACGTTTCCGGTATTTTGGTCACGGGTTTGGGATAGAGTAGTTGTTTTCTGTAGATTTTAACTAGTTACACGTCACACGTCCCTTAATGCTGTTTTTTAAAGATGTACCATAAAACTGACGGTCGTAGAAAAAGTATAGTATGCAACACCTCAATAAACTTCTTAAGTCACATGTTAATTAAACACCCATGACCTAAGAAGGTGTTAACTTTATTTGTCTAGTGCTTAAAAAACGCAATTATAAGAATACCTGAGCACAATTCTCAAAATGCTAGATATTTATCTTCCATATCTACCATCAGGCTCATTACATATTGAAATCAGTGACGTGAAATAAAAATAAGACAAATAAACACATTTTCTCCTTCTCATTGGTACATAATTTTAAAGGTTTTTTTTTTTACTAAATATATTATTATTGTAGAAAAATATTTAAGTCTATAATTAACAGTATACTTCGAAACCATTTGCGCAATTTACAAATCCCCAAAACTGACTAGATTTCTCCGCCGCAATTAGAGAGAGAGCAGTCTTGCATTCGCTGAAATAACAAATTCTAACAAATTTAAGTCAAGAACAGCTTATTCTCAATCGGTTAGCGTTAACCTTGAAAGTGGTTAATTAAGTAACTAAGATTAACTGAATAATTTCGGATTTTTGTGACCTTCATGATTCGTTTTGAAATCAGAATTCATCCGCGTGTATTTAATTGGTGCTCCTGTGTGGGTATACAAGTATTTATAAAATTGTTACACTTACAATGAATTCGTGGTTTAAATTTCAAAAATAAAACAAGTGTGTGCAAAAGTAATCGTTTAAATGGGAGGGCAAATTGGAGCTAATATAGTTGAAATTCAGAAAATTGCGAAAAATCAAACACTCACATGCATTACACAACAGTTAAAATTACGAAAAGAATTTCAACGCATACAAGATACCATCAAATATATATTCTCTGCAAGACAGCAGGTAATAATAATATTAATAAACTAAACCAATTTCTAAATGTAACAATAAAAAAATATGAAATCAGAGAAAGAAACAGTATAATGGACCAGTGTGTTGATATTTTTTGTAGCAAGTGTTCAACCATTGTTTTTTATTTATAGGCAATAAGATTAAGCTTGTAAGATTAGGAAAAAAGGATAGTGCATTGATTTAATACACATATATAAAAATCAAATATGATCATGTTCCAATACCTATTCAAGTCTTTATCTGCCATTGGATACGTGCGTGAAAAAATGTTTTTAAATCTTCATCTTTTAGACTTTTAGACGCCAAAACGCGATAGCATAAACCATTACACGGTCCACTTTTGTGCATGACGAAATATCCATACCGGTTTAACTAAATAAATCATTCCACAAAACGCGTGACAACAATTGCGTCTATTTATTTATTAATATTGTTAATAAGTGGTTCAAATTTGACATTAGGATATTTTATTCAATATTTTTATATGAAATATACAATAAATTCATATGCGCGGATCCTTGATTATAGTTGCAAAGTATACAAAAGTTTTAATTCATTGGTTTGTTGACGAATTTGAAGTCAACAGTGAAAAAAGTAAGAAGACTAAATCAGGAAGGCTTAGAAATAAAACATCCTATTTATGTTATTGTTAATTCATTAATTAGTAAATTTAGGCGTTTAAAGTGTTACATTTGCTATTAAAAAGATACTTTTTTAATAGCAAATAACAGTAATGTCCGTCCATATTGGTTCCCCTATTGCAAACAATATAGATTTTGCAGAGAAATTTTGATTTAGAGTGACATGGGGATTTGTTTCCTATTTATCCTACACGTTAATACTAATGGCAGTCTTCTCTGTAAAAAAACTTGCATAATTTCTCTGGTGACCATTTTAGCATTGTTTTAGGGTTATTAATATTAATTTTATTTTTATTTTTTTAATTCTTTGTATATTTTAAGCATACCAAACATATGATTTAGATTATTGTTGTTATCATAACTGTAATAATGGATTGTTTACATTATTGAATAATGAATTCAATGGTTTGTTTTGCTTATTCTGCTTTGGTGGTGATATTTTTTGAATGTTTTACTATTAATAATCTAATGTGCCATTGCATATGGTTGCAGTAATGTATATGTAACCCATATAAGAAAGATTTTTTGCATATTAAGGTATTTGAATTTGTTTCATAAATAAATAACAACTTATAAAGTTAACACATAAATAAAATTGATTTGACTTTTATAAATAAAGTAGTTCACTAAATAACAAGCCGTGACTATCCTAATGTCCAAATGGTGTAATAATTTAGTTAACTGTAATATGATGACTTATTGTTTAAATGAAATTCCTGCAACAAGGATGTCTGAATGTTAATATGTGCAAAAAACTACAGTTAATTTTAACCGATTTATTAAATATTATTCATTA